GGAAAATAACTTGGCTAATTTTAAACTGACTTAGGTAGTGGGCAAATTTGAAAATACAATAAAAACAATATATTAAATCATTTTATCCCTGTCATTCATTCCCACTATGATATAAACACTATTTGTAAGATAACTGTTCCTTAAAATTTTTATAAGTCATGTTTAATGAAAGAGAATCATTTAAGCATTTTTAGAAGAACAATTGGTGGAATTGATATAAAGACAAATTCATGAAATTTGACCTATTTTTTAGACATTTTAGAAGAGGGGCATACAAAGTGAAAATAAATGAACAGGCTTTATTGTGGAAATGACAAAATTAGTGAATTGTTGCTCAAAGAAAATTTACTGGCACACACCATATTAGAGAGAAATGCCACAAAGTTCTACTTAAACTGATATTTTAAAACATAAAGGTGCAGATGTAGCTATCAGATGAATCTGTTCCATATCAGTTCAGCCAGGTCAGTCGAAGTATTAGTAGATGTCAATTGAGCAATCTGCAAAAATGGATTCCCTTTCTCACACAGATTCAGGTAGATTTCCAGCAAGAATATCAAAATCTCCAAGTCTTTTGGTCAAGTTAGAGAGGGCACTGCACACGAGGTTTTACTTAAAGGTGTTTAATGATGGTAAAACTTATGCTTCCATGACCTGATTTTTGCTTCTGGAAAAAAAGGAGGAGTGCTTATTTTAACAATCTAGAGACCTTCTGTTCTTAAGGAAAGTTTTAGCAAATATAAAACCAACCTGTCAAAATTAACTTTCAGAATATAATCTATAAGGTTTCTGGTTTTGAACTGAGGTAAAATAGATGCAAATCCCCCTTCAAAGTCAAAATATTTGAAATTAGATACATACTTCTAAGTTCTCTAAATTTCAGTTTCATCAGACTTTTTATTTCCTTGTTGAGTTGCCACAATACATTTTTGTAGAAATAAAGGGTGAATAAACAAATGATACAAAATTTCACAGCCAAATTTATGAATTTTAGTATTTTAAAGTGAAAATGTCTATGGGATATGACTCGTTGGATGAGCTATACGTCATTGGATGAGTTGGGCTGAGAGAGGTAGAAGTAGATTTGGTGACACAATCACGCTAGCCTTGGGTGTAAGGTTTCCTAAGAAGTTCTTTCCTTTTTCTGTGTTTACCCTTATCATCTTTTCTGTATATTATATGAAACTGAAATGGAAAGAGAAAGTTTAATTCATTTGTAATGTACACACAAACCTGTCACATTGGCTGGCTTTCTTGGCTCCAATTAGGCCTTGGAAAAATGGATAAGACCCAAATCATGAGACTATTTGGCTAACCAAATAGAATAATGACTGTGATGGAATGTGGTACTATATTGCCTGGTACATAGTTTTATACTTCTCGGAAAAAGAATCCACATTTTGATTGGCATTAATCCTGACATAATTACAAAAATCACTTACAATGTATAATTTACCATATTGCATTTCAAGATATTTCAAATTCAGTAGTCATCCTTTATCTGTGGTTTTAACACTCCTAAGTCAGTGACAGAAAACGTTTTAGAGCTCTCAAGGATAACAAACAGCCAGCTGCAGCATGTGTACCATAGGTTCACCACTACTGTCCTAGGTCAACCACAGATTTATGGTTTGTGTCTATGTCCCCCAAAAGCCTGATGTGGTCATGGGTAGGGCTTTTTCAGAGGCGCTGGATCTAAAGTGTGTGATGTTAGGATCAAAGGTGTGTGATTACTAAATTAGTCCACTGATTAGTTTGGCATAGTTCTGAGTATGCATAATGCAATGTACCCTGGATATAATATAAGAGATAGAAAGAAGGCTGCTGTGAGTGCTTGCTGCTTCTTTGCTACTTCACTGCTTTGCTGCCTTCTGCCTGCCATGAACTGTTTCTCTTCCTCAATGCCCCTCTGCCATCCACCCTGCCTTGGAGCCAGCCAACTATGGACTGAAACTTCTACAAATTGTGTGGCACAACAAACCTTTCCTCTTTAACTATGTTAGGTATTTTGTCTCTGCATCAAGAAAAATAACTATGACAAGTCCAGTTTTAAATGGGAATGTCCCTAAATAAACATAAGTTTTAAATTGTCCACTGTTCTGAGTAGAGTAATGAAATCTCACCCAGTCCCACACCATCTCACTTGGAATGTGATTCGTTCATCCCTTTGTCTAGGACAGCCACAAGCTATACCCTTCCCATCCATCAGGCACTCAGCAGTCTCAGTCATGAGGTGCAGACTGTGCTGCACCTCTGTGCTTGTGTCTGAGCAACTGTTGCTTTAGTTGATAATAGCCCCAAGGTGCATGAGTAGAGGTGCTGGCAGTTCAGATATGCTCGAGAGGAGCAGGAAACTGCAGCTCTTCGGGATAGCTCACATGTCCCAATACCTGGGAATCTCTCCCAAGCCTTGGTGTTAATTAATATGTTAAATCTCTAACCATCACACCCTGCTTATTTCAGCTCAGTGCAATTATACACAGAAGCGTTCCTTTTCAGTGTATTTAACACTAGGAATGATGTCAAAGGCAAGTAAAATAGTGGAAATCTGACTGGTACTCACTGACTTTAAAATTGATGACTATTTTTGCAGTTGATCACATTTTTTCATTTTTATTATGAAAGTCTATTTATACAAATGGATGTATGTGTACACACATGAAGCATATAGGTTAGATATAATCATGACAATATAATGAACATCCATCCATCTAGTATTCCAGTCTAAGAAATAAAATACTAATTCCTAAATAAATAACCACTCTACCTCCTAGGGCCATTCTGAATGTTTGCCTCCATCATTGTTTTGTCACTCCAAATCCATACAATTTAACCAAAAAAGTGAACATTAGGGGCTAAATTTTATTTTTAATTTTGAAAATGTCTATGTTTAAAAAATACTGACATTATTTTTGTCATATTTGTACTCTAAAACCTATTATTGCTGAGCCTGGTGGCTCATGCCTGGGATCCCAGAACTCAGGGGAGGCTAAGGCAGGAGGATCACAAATTCAAACCTAGCCTGAGCAATTTAGGTACTTAGTGAAACCCTGTCTCAAAACAAAAATATAAAAAAGGGCTGGAACTGTAGATCGGTGCAGAGGCCTCTGTTCAATCTCCAGTACTTAAATCATACCAACTCCCTGTTTTTTTCTTATTAGTTTTTAAAACTTTGTATAAAAGGCATCTTGCTTTGTCTAAATGGCATCAGTCAATTGCATGTTTTGCACATTGTTTGAGTCATCTGACCCTATTTGTGCTTAGTTTATTTTAACAATTGCATATGGCTTTGCAATATGAACAAACCAGAGTATGTGAATCCCTTTTACTGTTTGGTTTTTAATTTTCATTTTATTCTGCACTCATGAACAATGCTATTATATGTCTTGGGCATGTCTTCTGAAGTGGATGAGCTAAAGTCTCTCTATGATAAAAATAGAAAAGAAAATTATTGGAAAACATGGCATCTCCACCTTCTCATTTTCTTAGAATGTCAAATTGCTCTGGGGAATAATTACATAGATTCACATATACAATTAATGTATAAGAAAACCAAAAAGCCTGACATTATTTTTTCACTGCCAACATTTGCTACATTTGTCTTTTTTTCACAGGCACAAAACACACTTTAATCATCCTCTCTTTAACCCTTATTTCACATTTCGTGGAGGGTTGAATATGTATCTGATATTATTCTTGACTATTCTGTTGATTTCTTACTCTACATCCAGTCTAATAACAGATCCCATCCATTCTACTTTCAATATATACACAGAGTCCAATCTCTCTTGTTTATTCTGCTGCATACCTAGGGTTCACACCACCATCCTGATACATCGAGAATCATTGTGACACCTGCTCCACTATTACTACGTGGTGGCAATCCCCATCTTTCTCCTGGATTATAAGCAATAGCCCTCTTTCTGGCCTCCTTGGTTACAATTTGGCCTCCCATGCAAAATAATATCTTCTACTCTGTAGCCAGATAAATATTATCAAAACCATCACTCATTTCTCTTCTCAAAATGCTACACATGGCTTCCTGTTTCCCTTGTGCTGACCCAATGATCTGGCACCACCATGTCCACTCATCATGCTGCCCACATTGTTCCCACTGCCCACTCACTTGGTCCCTGGCTTCCTTGTTTCTTGCCTATCAGACCAGCTCTACATCCCAAATATGCAATGGCCTTTCCCCATCCCAGACCTGCCTGTGGCTCCCTTTCGGACTTCCTACACCTATGAATTTAAATTATCATTTTCTCAATGAAGCCTCCCTGACCACCTCATTTAAAATTATGATCCTGTTGCCTGTTTCCTCTCACTGTTGCATGAGGGTAGGATTTTTCGCCTCCCTCTTGAGTATGCCTCTAATTCCTAGACTACATCACATAAGAACAATAAATAATAATGACAGCGATAACACCCAACTCATAATGCTTCTACTACTTCTGAGCAGATGAGATAAATAAACTTAATTCTCTCAAAACGACGTTGCAGGGGATTTCCTGTTTTGGTGACGTAGACAGAAGAACAGCACTAAGTGGGAAAGCATCAACAGAAGCAACTTTTCTATCACACTGAGGATCTATCAAGGGAACAGAGTAATCTGGGAAGTTTTATTCTTGAAAATGGCTGGGCAAGAAGAACGTGTGACCTTCCTGCCTTGAACTAAAAGAAATTCAAAAGCATCTGTACAGATGCCCAGGAGGTTACTGGACCACAAAGTTTTCTCACCATTTTATTGACCCGTCCATCCTTCACATCCAGGTCGCCACTGCCCACAGACATGCATCTGCAGGCCATGCAGGGAAAACAGAGCAAAGTCCCCTTTTATTGAACAGAAGAGCCACCTCATGAGTAATCCAAGGGCAGCCAAATTCCCAACACCACCAAGAACTTGCATAGTTTAGAAAAGAAAAAAATTGAGTGGAAGGAAATTCAGAGCATTGGAGGAGGAGTTAAGACGAGAGTGAGCAGCAAGGCGCACAGCACTGTACCTTGCGCGGCCAGCTCCTTCCAGCGTTCCTTGTTCTGCTGGATGATGTCCATCAGGTTGTTCTTGAAGCTCTTGAGGTCCACGGCGGCCAGCGAGTAGTCCGGGGAGCAGCTGCCGTCACTCACGCAGCCCTTCATGTTTGAGCGTCTCATGGAATCGGCAATGTGCAGTCCCACGAGGGTGGCTGAGCTATGGTCACAAACACGCCCAAAGACACAAGGTCATCGAAGGCTCAGAAACTGACAAAACCAGCCAGAGAAGCAGGGCAGCCCACGATCAGGCCCAGGTGAGAGCACGCAGTGGCCCCTGCCCACCTCTCTGGCCTCCCTCCTCTGGTGCACTTTCCGTACCTCAGGGTGCTCCACTATATATTTTTTAAAATTTTAATTTAATTTAATTTTATCCCATCCCCCCCAAGCTCCCTCCCCTCCCTATGCACAAAAGCTTTGTTTCCATTTTTCCCTCCATTTTGACTTTCTTTCTTGTCCCTCCTCCCTTGTTCCCCTTCCCATTTGAACACTTTCTTCCCATTTCCTAACATCCACTATACGTTTCAGTCCTTATTTCCACTTTCATTTTCTCACACAAGAGAAACAATGTGGTATTTAAACATGTGTGTCCAATTTATTTCACTTAAGAGTATGGTTTCAAGGTCCATCCATTTAGCTATAAATGTCTGAAGCTCATCTTTATGGCAGAGTAGTAATCCATTGTACAAAAAAACCCCACATCTTCTTTATCCACTCATCAGTTGATGGGCATTGGGGCTGTTTCCAAGCTTTAGCTATTACACACTGTGCTGCTATAAACATGGGTGTGCATATATGGCTGTGGTATGAGGCTTCTAATTCTTTCAGGAAGATACCAAGAAGAGGTATAGCTGGGTCAAATGGAATCTCTAGTTTTAGTTTTTTTGAGAAATCTTCACACTGATTTCTACAGTGGTTGCACCAGTCTACACTCCCAGAAACAGTGAAGTGTTCCTTTTCCCCACAGCCCTTCCAGCATTGGTTATTGGTTGATATTTTTTGATATATAAGTTTTCAAACTGTGGACATCAGTTCTAAATGTCAAAGGCAGATGCAACACAATAAAAAGCCACTAGGTGGCAGTATTGTCTAATAATTCTTGCAAGAATGTCCTGCCTAGCTGTAAAAATAAGGATGATCATTGAGTACAAGGTTGTTAAACATCACAAACATGAAAAATGACGCAAAAGAAAAAAAAAATACCTGCTCGCTCCATAGTTAGGACTTTCGGCTTTTGAGGCTTCCTCTATAAGAGGAATAACAATTTTCTCTGTTGAGTCTGTCAGAAGAGAAAATGTTGGCTCTACTATGAAATCAATGAAACCTAAAAAAAAAAAAAGCAAAAGCAAAGAGAGCTAAATTCAAGTGTTATAATTTCCTGAATCCTAACGTCATAATGACTAAGGGATACCGGCACATTCCCGGAATAGCCAGTATCAACTGTAATATTAGTTCTGTTTACACTTTGACATTTTAACTCAATAACACAATTTTTAGAGACCATTTGATAGAAAATAATACATCAAGCTGTAAAAGCAGCACATTTTACTTTGCTACCTGAAGCATATTGGCTTTCCTAGTTCATGTTCAGTCTTATACACTGTTGCTAACAATAGGTTCAAATCTACTGAAAGGGAATGTGTTTCCTCTCTCAATGAGAAAGATCATCATCCTTTTAGAAAAGTTTTCATTTGGTTGAATTTTATTATTGCCTCAAAAGAAATCATATCCAAGCTCCAATACAACAAACTAATTTTTGGTAGTTTTTTCCCAGGCTCCAGGAAGGTGATTTTTTTTCTTCAGCGCTTTCTGCTTGTGTGTCAGTATTTCAAATTGTTAATTATTATTCCCTGGACGTGAAGTGCCGGTTTGTAGCGTGTGAGTGTGTGCTGTCAGGCCAGCAGAGAACAGTGACATCTCTGGAGACAGCATTCGTGCCACCACTCTGAGAGGCAGGATTGAAAGAAGGCTTTTACTTTACAGTACTTACCAAGGTAGGAAGTGACACATAAAGAACAGGCCGCTCTCCTCCGGGAGCTTTTAGCACGCAGTGTTAAGGTAGAGAAAGAGACACCAGCTATGTCTAAACTCGGCGTGTATCTCAGCACCCCGTGACCCCAGGGCCAGGCAGGTGTTTGCCATCAAGTGTGTGTTGCCTGAGACCCAGTCCCACATGAATACAAGCGAGCGATGGAAAGAGTGGCGTGAGGTGGTAATCACTCGGAAGTATCCACACATGAAGGTTACCTGCCCAAACACCTGATAAAATTGGCATTGCGAGAAACTAGACTCCTCGTGGTAAATATACAGGCACATTTCTAATTAAAAATAAAACTTTAAAAATGGGTCTTAATTGATAACTTCAAATTAAAGCGATGTTCATTGTCCATTCAGGGTGTTACTTTGAGATTTGTAATGGTTTTAAATGCCGGGGAAACGTAGATGGTCTACTACCAGAGGTGGCAGCAATTAAATCAGAGCAACAAGCCTCGGATGTTAACCTTCCCAGCTTGCTAGGCAAAGCCTCAGCTGCCGCGTTCACGCTTCCTAAACAATTACAGGCCCTGAGGCTTCCGTCCGGAGGTAAATAGCTGCTGGAAGTTGGTGTTGAGGGAGATGTTGCAGCCAGCAGCCCTCTGACCACCCTGCATCTTCAAGGTGGGTCTGCTGGGGAATGTGAGGTGGGACAGAAACTTTGTTTATTGATGCTGTGACTCAGTAGTGAAGGTGCTGCTTCGGGGAAAAGGCTTTTACCAATACTTCAACCTGCAGCGTGCAATCCAGTGTTTTAATAATGAGTTGCAGGGGAAGCTCCCAGCACAAATACAGATGAGAATGCATATGACTGGAAGCAATATCATTTTGCAAAATTCATGCTGTTGGCTTATCTATTCATATCACAAGAACTGTTTTTCCAAAAGAATATGAGCTTGTATGTTAAGCATACTATGGAAACAGCCAATAACAGAATGCGAATGTTAATATTTTCATTGAATTGTCTTGCATTTTTCAAATTAAGTAATCAGCAACAAAACAAAAAATATACTTCTTTGCACAAGAAAGTCCTTTATTTTGTAAAAAAAAAAAAAAGTAATAAGATTGACTAGTGCTGCTTTATTGAATTTATTTTGTGAAATTATTTCAATAATTGTTATTGAGCAATATCTCAGTCTAAAGCCAAAATTTATCATGAGAATAAAGGGAGATTTGGCTAGAAGGCTTTGAACCATGTGGTGGACACATTCGAAAACTGACAAGCCACACCCACCCTCCCTGACCACCTGTCTTCCACATTACCTATTTGTGACTGGGCCACCATCGTTGACTTGCGATCACAAAGTGGGGAAAATGGAAGTCCCAGTTCAGCTTCTTTATCTCCCTGGGGAAACAAAAGTGCTTTAGAACAGACATGGGAGAGCCTAAGGTACTGAGCCCCCGCCCCCACACAAAAACTAAAAGAGCTGCATCTTCCGTCTATTAACAGGCACGACCTTTTAACCTATTTATGTGTATATAATCTGAAGTCCAAGTTTTCCTAACTTTTCTTGGATGGTCTTTTGAAATCCTTCTGTGAGGGGAAGTCATGAACATTTTTAGCATCTGTCAACTTTGCTTTATTATTATAACCCCTTGATTGCCAAGAGACAAACATTTGCTCTTTGGAATTTTCTAGTTACCATAATTTTGAATATTGTTTGGCATTTAATAATCTAGTGCATGGATTTTTCCGCTCCTATTTTTTATATCAGATATATCAACAAAGCTTCAGAATCAAGATTTTGTGAATTGAGGTTTTTTTCAAAGTAAATGGGTAGGAGAATTTTGAAACATCTTTTTATTTATTCTTTTATTAAATCTCATAAAAACTAATGAAGAATATCTTCCATATTCTTACATTCTGCATGCATACTTTTATTTTAATGTATTCTCTCAGAGAAAATTGAAATGTCACTTTTTTATTCTTGCCTAAAGCAGATTAATTGAGCATATGTTAAAGAAGTCCATTTATATTTGCATTTAACATCATGAAAAGTAACTACATTTTCATCTAAAATATAGGCAGTTGCTCTTGGCAAATTTTTATTCTCACAGGGTTTATCAAATATTGGTTCTTTCCTTTTTTTATAAGATGCTGTGCTAATGGAAGAAAGAGGAGGGAATTTCTATGATCCTGTTCATTCCAAATGCCTGGCTGTTGGGATAGATGCTTTGGGAGGCTTCTTCCCAGTTATGGACTCAGTACCTTCACGAGCTCCCTGCCTGTATCAGGCCATACCTTAAGAAGCAACACCTGGCTGAGGACTTCTAGTTTCCGCTGCAGTCTGTTTCCACTAACATCTGTTTACCCCATCTTTACAACATCTTGTCAATAGGCCACTTTGAATTTGTTTTAAGATGTTTCTGGTTCATTCCATTTGAGCCATGCCTCTAATTACATGCAGAAAGTTGAAATCAGAAATATTTGGGATCACCAAGGAAGTAGGCCAAGTAGCTATAAGCAGGAACACCTTACTATATCATGACTTAGAAAATAGGGAATAAGAGTTGCTCTGCAAGCAACTGCTCTAATTAATAATATCAGATTCACTTAGAATTTTTATACCCAGCTTCAGGGCAGAGGGGGATTATTAATGCCATTGGCCTTGGAGTCAGAAGAGTCACCTGACTCACTGTGATCCTGGGGATTTTCTCCCTTCATGCACACAGGTCCCAGTCTGTGAAGAAGAAATTCTCATCCCTGACCTCATTTTGTGACCTTGGGGTACTCATTTTAGATATAAGGTAGTATCCCCTCATGAGATTACCCTGGGGTTATCTGAGATAGTTCACATGAAGCCTAGGGTCAGTGGCTAAAATTTAGTAAACAGTGATACATTTAGCCAGTAGGAATCATAGCATAACAGCAACAATGTGTGCTGTGTAAATTAAAGGTATGCATGATGCCTAATGCATATGTTGGATTTTTGCTTTAAGCCACAGCAAAAAGGAATTTGTACTTAATTTAGCATGTAATGGAGAGGCACTGGCTTTTTCCTCCCTCTTTTCTAGCAAGGAATTGACATGACAGGTATTCCACTTTTGAACGATTAATTTGTCAGCAGTATGAGGGGTGCTTGAGGTGAATTCACACTAACTCTTAGGGCTCCAATCTGAGAAAAAGCAAGTGTTGGTGCTTCTAATACAAATAAGAGGATCTGACTTTTAAGATGTTGGGAATAATGTGCAGTAATATCATTTACAGATTATTATTGAATAATATCATTAATAGTTTATGTTAAAATATAATTTTAATGATAGACCTCATGGGAAATGTGATATTGAATCTATTTTTTTGGTATCTGTAGATAGAACGGTCTTTCAGTGACTGATTGATTATATGGTTTTATTTATTAAATGCAGACAATAAATTGCCTTTAGCTGCTTTTATTGGTCAGGGTACTGCTATGTGTTATTTTATGGACACAAACTTAATAGGTGTGTTTTTATACTACATGGTCCTTTTTTAGAAGCAAAAATGATAATATAGGCCTCAAACAGGCACTATGATGATTTACTCTCCTTGAACTCAATTGTATAGAATGTTTGATGACCACATCTTCATGAGTAACTCTGGCAACTGACAGGTCTGTATGGAGGGCTAACTTCCTGTACCTGGAGTGGATGACTTAATGCTCTCTTTGCTTCCAGCACGTTACAATTAGTGTAGAATATAAATTTCCACTGCTAAAGTGCATTGAATGCTAAGTGCATGAATTATTTAATTTATTTATAAATATTTCAAAGTGTTATTTATTCTTTACCATGAATAAAGGCCATGAGTGCAGGTTAATAGGGGCCCTGTAGACCTCAGAGGACCTAGAAACTCAGTAGGATAGGGGGGTGCCACTAAGGGAGGAGGGAAAGGTAGGTAAAGTTTTGCTCTGAGTATACATTTGATCAACTTCACAGTTTCCTTACTCTAATCTTGAATAGGGAATATTTGCTTTTTATGAAGATAAAATCAAGAGTAAGAGAATGGGCATTGGATAAGACAACTTGTTTGTATTTTTCCTGGAGGTTGTGTTATCATTTGGGGATGCTGCTTTCTGAACTCAGGTTAAACTCAGCTCATTAACCAGTGCCACTCAGCCCAGCCTCGGTCGCAGCACTGTGTCCTAGGAGGTGAGCTTGCCTCCGAGGAGGCAGCAAACGCAAGGCTGGCCAGGGAGAAATGCAGCAGCTGGATGTGCACACAGGGCAGGTTCTATCTGTCTCAGCAATTCTCAGGAGACTGTTGAGGTTTCTTCTTTGAAAGGCCATGACCAAGAGCTAGCGGTTGCTTCGATGCTTTCCTAACCGTGTAAAAGGCTCTGGCAGGCATCAAACAGGTGTCAAATCCAGTGAATAAACAGCACATTTTTTTTCTTTTTTCCATTTCTCAAAACCCAAAACAGTCTCTATAGTTTTAAAGATAGGAAGAAGCGGGGGACACACAGAAATCTTGAGAAGCTTCTTGTTTAACCTAAATTTTAGTTGGAGAAGCAGTATCATCCCCATTCAGGAAGCCTCTGGCCACCAGTTTAGGGGCTGTGGGACAGCTTAGGGTAGAATCTGAGGGACCGTGAGTCCTGCGGGAGAGTTTAACTGGGAAAAGGGAAGGCACATTAGCATTGGCCTCTTTGAACAACTCACTGCAGGAATTCAGGTTGTCTAATGACTTTCCTTCACTTCTGCTAAAAATGAGCCCTTCTAAATTCTCAGAAAGCCATCAAACCTGATGAGAAATTTAACAATTATTGCACCTTACACCTTCACTTTCAGCAAAATTTATGCTATGGTATAATTGTATTTTGTGAGGACTGTACATATTTTATACAATGTTACAACTCCTGTAATTAATATTTATGGTGTTTTTATGCCTTTTGAAACTAGAAGCTTTCATTTTTACATTTTAAGTTATATACTGGCTCAGAGGTATGGTTATTTGTATTTATATAATTTTGAAGGTTGTAGATATGTCTTTTTGAAGCCAGATCATTAGCTGAGAATGGACTAAATGCTTTTTTATTGCTATACGAAAGAACATTTATTTTGAAATAACATACTTTATATTATCTTAGTAATATTCAAGAAAATAGAGGGACTTGACTGCATTTTGTTTAAGATAAAATCACCATTTGGACCTATCCTTTCAAATAACTTTTCCAGTTAATTCTTTCTTCTGGCTAACAAGGTATTATATTTATGAATATATGTAGATTTATCCCAAATATAGATTTTTCTGTTCATGTGTCACAAGTCAACTAGGGGAAGAAGGGAATAATTTATATAGTCATCAGACTCACAGTACAAAATATGAAGAAATGTTAACTCTGTAAAGAATTTAATTGTATTAGCTTCTTATCATGCCCATCAAATGTGTTTTCTGAAGACAGCAGGAAGCAAAACCTGTCTTCCTTTGTTAGCAGTTACTCTATTGGCTGGTACTGCCACTCCCCCCCCACCCCGCCCTCCCTCTCCAGGCCCTCCACTTCCGGCCCCTCCCCTCCAGTCCCTCCACCTCGGGTCCCTCCATCTCCCTTCCTCTCTCCTATGGCTCTAGTTGAAATGGATGGCACTTGTCCCAAATGCACTGCAGTGAGTGGGCAGAGTCAATTGGGTTGATCTGTTGAAAGCTCAAAATGAGGGCCCTGTCTGTATTGATGAGCATCACAAGCTCATTGTGAAAATGTGTTGGAGTCGAGGGCTTGCTTCTCCTTTGCCACCAGCTGCTTATTCAAGAGCCAGAAGTAAGTGTTTCTCAGAACTGCAAATTCTGGATATAATTCTGGTCTCCTCAGGGTGAGTCTTCCCTGGCTTTAGAGAATGAACCTTAGGTAGTTACACCAAAGATGGTATAATATTGATGAACTTTAAAAAATAATCCCAGTAGCTGAGTCTACACTGGCTTTTTCTCCAGTAATACACTGTGTTTTAAACATTTTTAGTGTTTATTTAATCCTGTTCTTGGGAAAATGAAGTTGGAAGACAAATTAATAAATTGATACAGAAACCACATCCCAAAATTGCTCTGCATTTTTCTGAAATAAGAATTCACAAACACACACACTTAAACACAAGTTGACTTAATTTTTACTGTTACTCTTAAAAAGTTCTAAAAATCAGCTCTGTATTTTTGAGTACTTTTTTCTGATGTTTTGAATTTATATTCAGTCTCATTTTATTCAAGATCTATTGAAGGAATTCCAAGTCTAGTGCTATATATTCTGCAGAGAGAGGAAAAGGAAGCTTAATTGGGTACTTTTTGAGCCTCAATTATCTTCAGAATGCTTTTAAAATTAAAATTTTGTTTTTTGATAGTCACTTATTGCTGGAATTTAAAGGATCTGAACAAAGGAT